GGCTGCAGTTGATCAGTGGAGTAGGGATAGGGAAGCAACTCTAAAGCTCCTCAAGGAACACCTGGTCCAAGCCCAAAATCACATGAAGCAGCAGGCAAAACAACATTGAACCGAAAGACAATTTGTGGTGGGAGATTGGGTATTTCTAAAATTGCAGCCCTACAAGCAAAGTACACTACAATGTCAGTCTAACATGAAATTGTCCCCAAAGTTTTATGGGCCATTTCAGATGTTGAAAAAGGCGGGTCGGGAAACTTACCAATTGGACCTGCCCCCACACTCTAAGTTGCACCCAATTTTCCATATGTCCTTGCTCAAGAAGAAGTTGGGTGCCCACACCACACCACAAGCCACATTTCCACCCATAGGGACTGATGGTGTCATTGAACCTGAACCCATTGCAGTCTTGGACAAGCATTTGATCAAGTATGAAGGTAGGCCAGCAACTAAATTATTCGTACAATGGTCTAATTCCTACCCAGATAATGCAACTTAGCAGCTATACCAAGATCTCCAAGCCAAATTTCTAACTTTCCAGCCTTTGAGACAAGGCTTCTTTCAAAGGAGAGGGAATGATAGGCCATCAACTTGAAGTGCAGCTACCATGGGCCAAGACAAGGGGCTGAACTCATGAGCGGTGAGCAATGGGCTGGATTGGATGATGGGCCAGACAACAAACCCAGCTAACAGATAGATTACAGCTAAGTTACCTGGTGCGGGATTAGCAGAAGATGTTGAAGTTGTTGAGCAGGATTAGTGGAAGCTGTTAGAGTTGTTGAGTGAAATTGTATAAAGAGGGAGAGAAGGAGAGACGAAGTGAATTAATTTTGTAATGAGAAAGATTGGGATCTAACATTTCCCAGAGGTGTACTCTGTTTCAATCAATACAATTTTCCATTTCTATCTCAACTTCAGTGTCAATATTTTCCTGAAATTCCCATTTTCTTCACTCACTTTATAATTCTTTGGACGCCCAAAGCTTCAACTCCAGTGTGCGTTGAAACACGAAGACCAAGGGAGTACTTAATCGGTGATGTAGGGTTCGAACTCGACCCCACCGAACTCCGATCAAAGGGCCAACTTCAGCTTCCTCAATCGTCACCACATATGTCTTCGAGCGTGGGAATCTTGGCTTGAATGCTCCATTGTTGAGGTTGGTTCCTCAATGTGTTGGCCACGGCGATTGGCAGAAGAAGATCAGCGGCAGAGAACGACGATGAGAGAGAGAGAGAGAGAGAAGAACAGGTGAAAGAGAGGAGATGCTTTAGGGTTTGGTTTATAGATGAGCAATGCTAGGTATCATGAAAAAACTTTCATGAAAATGATCATGAAAGATTTATGACCTTTGGATTACACTTGAAATAAAGCATCACACACTAATCAAGGTAATCCAAGAGTCATAAATCTTTCATGATCATTTTCATGAAAGTTTTTTCATGATCCCTAGTTTTTCTCATAGACAAAATATTTTGGAATGTAGATATATAGACAAAGAAAATTTATAATTAGATTTTCGAACCAAGTGTCTAATAATTTATGCATTAAATTGTACGATTAAATCTTGTACTTTCATCTTTGACAATAATGGAGTAAATTATAAATATATCCTTTAAAATTTGCTTAAAATATAATTGCTCTTGTAGTTTTGAAAATTATAAATATCTTCATATCATAATTTTTTATTTAACAGAATTAATTAAAAAATAAAATTTCTAACTACTATCGTATATGATAATAAAGGGTTGGGCTTCTCTTATGTTGGTCATCTCAACTTGGTAGAGCGCTTAGGTTTTATAAATCCATTTTGAGACCGATTTCGGTGATCCGAACTATTCATTTTTGGGTACTGTTACACACCATATGCAACCAACACAAAAGGTGTAAATGGAAGGTATAAACATAAAACAGGACAGCAAACAGAAAGGCGTAAATGTAAGGTGTAAGTTGCACACTTAAAAAAAGTCCTTCATTTTTTAGAACTCGTTAAAATATTCATGTAAAAAAATTAAGATAATTGAATATTGATAGCTATATATGTGAATTAAATTTGTATTACAAAAAATAGATAGTTATTTTTTAAATTATATTTGTCATTTATTTTTTGAAACCGATACAATTCAAATATATAGTTGTTGATATCTAATCGTCTTATTTTTTGCATGAATGTTATACTTAACAAGACTTAAAATATGAACTATTCAAATTACCGATACTCTCTCAAGTTGAAATGACAACTTAAAAAAAAGTAAACTCAATAATAAAATTATTTGAATTGTTAATTAAAATATATTTATAATATTATTTAAAGCTATTAATTGACTTAATAATTTTTTAATAAAACAAATGGTTTCTTATATGATTAAAAGCTTAAAGAGACATAATGTAATTTTTAAAGTTACATAGCCAATCTCTATGTCAACAAACAAATTTACCTAGGAGGTTGGCCGGGAGTGGACAATCTCGTTTGGAAATATGTTATTTTAATAATTTTTTTATTTTTTGATTAAAATATAAGATGTTAAATTAACTTGAGGGTTGGTTTGTAATATGTCATTTAAGTAATTTTTGACTTTTTGACTAAAATACGATGTGGAAAAAAAAATTGTAAATTTGAGATAATTTTTTAGTTTTTTATAATAAAAAAATGTGTAAAATGTACAGAAGAAAAGAAATCTTTAGATTTTTTTATATAATTTTTTAATTTTTTAATATTTTTTAATATTTTTAAACTAAAAAGTGATGAGGCCAACCATGGCCGTCTTAATGGAATAAGAAGATAAATACTATAGATAGAGATAGATTTCACATACGTTGCAAGTGTGGAACCCCTACCTATTTATTTATAGATAGTTTGGTTTGCCTAAACTATAGACCATGTTCAGTTGCACTTTTTTTGATCATCCAATCAGGATACGACATTGGAAGTCATCACTAGAGATGTTAAACCACCAATTTTTTTTGGAAAGCCTATGTTAAGAAGTGGGTCTAACCATATAAGTAGAGAGATAAATAGAGAATTAAAATCAAACTATTAAACAGAGAGAGAAATCAAGCAGGAACAAAATATCAAATACCAACAGAGAAATAAATCCAAAATCTCTCTTAACTAGAGTTTTAATATCACGTTAAATCATCAATTTTCTCAAAATACTAAGGAACTGTTTGATAATCATTCCGTTTTCAATTTTCAATTTATATTTATAAAAAATTTAAAAACTGTCATAAAAATTTATTTGATAATTTTTTTGGTTTATAAATTGTTGTCTTAGTTTATAAATTTGAGGAAAAAATATAAACTCAAAAAATGAGTTTACGTTGGTTTTTAAACAAAAATTTAAAAATTTGATTAATAATTTTTTTTTCAATTAATTTCTTTTTCAAATAATTTTTTTTCACCCCATTTTTTTAATTAATTTGTTTTTTCAATTTTTTTTCTAATTAAATTTTTTTTCAATTATAATATGCATGATCCCATTGTCATAAATAATAAAAAATAAATATAAATATTTTAAGACTGAACAAACATATTTTTTAGTTTATGTTTTAAAAAAATTTCAAACATTTTGTTCAAACCAAACGCGTTTGTAGTTTATATTTTCTTAAAAATAAACAAAAATCAGTTTATAAATTTTTTGTAAACATACACCAAAAACGTAAACGATACTAAACGCTACCTAAACTATTAAGAAATGGATCCAATAATATATATCAAGTTATGTAACAACTTTCACTAATACACTAGTTTAATGAGGCAACCATTAGCATGGGCATCAGACACTTTTCTGAGTTTGTTAAGCCATTTTGCAATAAGAATTTGCCATGTCAGCATAGTAGTTGCAATTGGCTTGATCTCTATGCATTATGCTCCGCGTTCCTCTACCTTTGCCGATAATCTTTAGGTTACTAAACTTTCATATTGCCATTCACCTTCAAGATTGTTGATTAGCTTTATGTTGCAGATTACCTCATTCTCACTTGGCAGAATGGTCGACCAAGATGTTATTGTGAGCTTAACTTTACCTCCCACAATTGCCACCAACTCTTATTATTGATTTGGCTCTTTCAAGCCTTTATCAAGTTCGATCTGTCATCTGTCGTAAAGCATGGAGTAGAGTATTGTGTCCATGGTCGTCAAGTGATAGTAATCAGTGTGTTTGATTTGAATTTTTTAAATTAAATTTTTTAGAAATTAAATTTTTTGATTTTCGTATTTTTTTGTTTTTAATGAATATTTTTAAAATTTTAAACATTTTTTTTACTTTTTTAGATACACCTTACTTTGATGTATCTAAAAAGTAAAAGATTTATGAAAAAATATTTTTAAAAATTAAAAAATACATAAAAATATATTGAATTCTCTTCTCTTCTTTTTTTTTTTTTTTGTATTTTTGGTATTTAGTGAATTTTTAAAAAAAAAATTTAACAATTTTTTTACTTTTTAGGTATATTTATGTTACCTATGTCTACCAAAAAAAAAATTACTTAAAATATTAAAAAAATTTAGTAAAAACAAAAAAAACATGAAAAACAAGACAATAAAATTTTCTGAAAAGTATTTTTTGAAAAACCTAACCAAGCTTTGTACACATACATCTGCAATGTAACTATGTGCATTTGTATGCAGATATAGTTCTGCTTGAGTTTAAAAATGGTGGAACACCTATCTTTCAATTTTGTTCATGCTGAGAGCATTGGAACATCTTTGTTTAAAATGGTGTTTCCTTTTCCCCTTGTGTTTCTGAAGCAAACAAAGAAAGAGAAGGTGATTTCCTCTTTTCTTTCAATCTCATTTTTGCCTATTTAAATCCAAGAACAAACGTATAGCACCATAAAGATTCCATTGGTCATATGCTGTCAAAAGATGTGAAAGTTTATAGTATTCCTTGCCAAAAATTGAAGTTTAAAAATATGAAAAATAACATGCCACTAAATTTTGACAGAAACACATAAATCAAATCAATCACATAACCAAACAAAAAATATATATGGATGGACAAAACTTTCAAAAGTGAGTCAACCAATAAATTCTGTAAGAACTTCAGTCATGTACATCCATGTTCATTTCTGTGTTTCGTTTTTGTGTATAACATAACGGTTGGGATAAATTTCTTTGCATCCTCATGTAAAATTTCATCCTACTACTTCCTCAGTTTTTGTTGCTTGCAAGCACAATAATTTCACCTATTCTTTGTTACAATCCAACCACACCAGAAAACAAATAGCTAAAATGGTTTTGCTAGGTTCAACATATCCCTCTCCAGCTATCACTGTGGTCAAAACCAACTGCCAAACCACCTTTTCAGTACTACTTTCGGTAAATAAACCACAAGAACAAGTATCAAAACCTGGCACAATCCACTGCTATATACCAACAATGAGAACAGGAAAAAAAACGTTTTTACCTCTTCTCTTCTTGTCTCTTCTCTTCCTGCCTCTTCTCTTCCTCATAGTACTCTTCTTCATCATAATATTCCTCACTCTCATCATCATCATCATCATAGTATTCTTCTTTGTCATCATCATCAGCCTCATTTTGCAGCAGATGTGTGGAGCCTGTTTGCTGAGAATTTCCTTCACGCTCTTGAATTCTGTCCCTGATGGTTGTTCCCTGATATACACAACGTGAACTAAGAATTTTTGGGAGAGAAAAAAATGACAAATATGTAGGCCTATAATGAAATTCTAGCATCTTAATTCATACATATTAACAAATTTTTTATACATCTAAAAAATTCATGGAGTTGCATACCATTTTATGGCAACCTTCTTCAAACATCTCAAGAAATCCAGCAACCCAGCGGTCAGCATTTTCCACCCATTCATTGCGATGCATGCCAGCAGTTTTGGCAACAGTTTGAATCTGCAATATGAGGAATTTGTGTACTACTAAGTAGCATTAAACAGTAAATTAATGGCTATTAAACAAAGATTGTGTTCCGTTATTTATTCCTGATTATTAAAGTTTTTTTTTTTCATTGATCATATGTCCAAGTGCTAGACCACCATGCATATACTGAAAAAGAAATGCAATTTGACAGTATCTTTCACATCTTTCCTCGGAACGCATTTGCTCTTTCTACGTCAATGAGAAATGACAGTACCAAAAAAATAAATAAATGAGAATGACAAAAGGAAGCAAGTTTAGGTAGGCTTTTGTTTGGAAAAGATACTATTTTGAAAGTAGATGCACATGATTGAGATTAACTCCACTAACAACATTTTAATGTTTGTCTAGCAAGATAATAAGACATTTGATAGAGGTGGGTGAATCCAATATAGATTTGTGTCAGTCACTCATAGTGTACACAATGCAGGTTGACCATCAAGACAGACAACCGTTAATAAAGAATGGTATGTATTAGAAACCCGAGGGCAGGTCCTAACTGAGCAGGGCCAAAGGATTCACGAGCATACGAACCAAGTCCTAAGACCTCATCTTCATGTAAAGCCTTGCCAACTTGACACACCGCGAAGCTCAGGAGTTTAGGCCATTCTATAACAAGCAATAGTCATTATCGTCCAACTCATTTCCGTGGGAGACTTACTGATCATTGTGGGACATTATTCTACTTTTTAATATTTTAAGTGTTATTCAAGCCATTCATGTACCTAGGCCACAAGGCAGGCCTTAGATACACCTAACTCTTCGATACGCACCACATGTCTACAATCAGTAGGGCAATCGGTATAGTAACTATTGTGAAGAACTTAAATCATTTTATGTGTTTTGGAATAAAAATGCAAACATGCCTTTTCTTCTACCTTTTCTTGTTGTTCCTTAACTTTCTCCTGTAACTTCTTCAGTCTCATGTTCACCCTCAATCGCTTTTCCTGTTTACACAAACAAAAGCTCAATTTCCTCATTCAAGAAAATATCATAGAAGTAAATTCAATAATGAAGCCCACAAAAATGGCTTATTTGATTAAAAATATATATATAGAAAAAGACCATACCTTCACATAGCTAACGCCAAGTTCTTTTCTAGTATATCCACGGTCCAAGTTACGCATCACATACTGGTTATAATCTTTGACAATCTTCATAATGATGTCTGATGTAGAAATTCCATCAGTGCGTTTGGTTTCTTTGAACTTTCCTACTGCTTTAACCTACAATAAGAGGCTTATTAATGCATGACATTATCAATTCAACAAAAGAAGATTATAAAGTTTAATGTGAGAGAACAAAAGATTAAATAAAGAAATCAAAGGCAATAAAAAAAAATCTACGAGACAAAAACTATGCAAAACTGCCAGGCTTACAAATTCATAGACATCTTTTCCAGCACCACTAGCATCAGCATAACTGTACTCGTTACAAAATAAAAGATTAGAGGAACCTTAATGTTTGAATTGTTTTTAACAATATAACAAGATAAATTTCATGGCAAGGAAAGAATACAACATAAATGTCTATGATAATTAAAAATAAAATACAAGTCTATTCACATCAATGAACAATTTCACCATTTTCATCTGCAAATGGATGAACTTAAGAAAGAGGAGCAGAGGCATGAGGGTGGGTTTCACTATTTCTTTAGTACTAATAAAACAACCATACAATCCAGTCTCAGGTGCAAAAGTATAGTTTTTGGTTGCCTTACGGAAGAGAATCATGGGCCACATAGTCAATGTTATGCTTGTCAAGAAATTCCTGATTGATCACCCATGGTGCGTCAGGAATAACTTCATCAACCCACCTGCAAGAAGAAAACCCATGTTTACCATTCTAAACCTGCCAAGATTTCAATAACATCAGGGCAAAAGATAAATACTACATAAAGGAGAATTTCCTTCAACAAACAACCTCTACCAGCAAGTTATCAAGAACACTGATCCAAGTACAACACAAAATTCACCTAAATATATGTAATTCTAACCAAGTACCCATAAAGAATAAAACTAGTGTGACCATGCAAGAGCACGTCACACGCTGGATGAATAAAAATATCTTAAATTATAAGATACATGCTAAGAAGCATAAACACAGACATGAGACACAACAATTTTCAAAAAATCAGAACAAATAAAACAAAACCAAAAAAAAAATGTATTTTTTATAATTTTTTTAGTTTTTATGTATATGAATATAAATTTAGGGCATATAAATATGGAAGGCATAGATGTACTTTGTGAGGGTGAATTAATTATTAGTTTTCCCACATTACGCATCTTTGCTTCCATGTGTTTTATTTTGACCCCAAATTAACCTTCTTAAATTATAACAAAAACCCACAAGACCTTGAGGCGTGTCCTAACACAAGATACACATATCCATGAACTCCCCCACATGCCTTGCAAAAAACGCAATAATTCAAAAAAACGACATGCCACATGGCGTGTCTAACACGTGGACAGGTGTCTTTGTGCCGTGTCATACACATATCGGACAACTACACGACACCCATTTTGGAGTGTTTGTTCTTCCTAGGATACATACAATACAACCTAAGGTCAGCTAAATTCATTTCCCTATTATTACAAATGAAAAATACAATGAAAATGAGGAAACACCAAGAAAAACATACTTGCAATGGCGAAGGGATTCATAGCGCTCAGATTCAGTCATAACAGTTTTACCCTTATACTTGTGCGTAGTTTCATCGTTGCAGCATCCAACCAGCAAATAGGCGTTTGGGAATCTATATATATTTATAATTTCCAAAATTAAAATCCACATGAATTCAGAGCATAACAAAGGAAAAACATACAGACAAAAATGGTCCAAAAAATGCAGGCAATTACTTATATGCTAAATATAAAAAATAATAATAATAATAATAATAATAATAAAGGAAAGAATAAAACACAATATCAATCACATCTACTCTTAATATAAAAATAAAATAAAATTAATCCCAACTCACAAAACCTAGGAATGGAATAATTAGAAACAATTCACCCAAGTTAATCAATAGAAAGACACGCCTAGTGCCTACATACACAAATCAAATGAATAACCTGAATATGAATCGTTAAAAAGGTCAGAAAAAAAAAAGGTACGTAGAAGTTGAGAATATCACAGAATTTTCTGGAAAATGGAAAGGAAAAAGCAAAAAAAAGAAAAATGAAGGAAAACCATAAATTTACTAGTCTAAAGGGATGACAGAAGATGAGAAATCAACAGAGAAGCATTATTATGATTGTAAGAAGAAAAAAAAATAGAAATTCGAAGAGAGAGAGAGAGAGACGATTTCTTAGCTTGCTCAAGGGAGCGAGCGTGGCCGAAGTGGAAGAGATCGTAGATGCCATCGGCGTAAACTCTGACGAGACTGTTCGCCAGCGATTGCTGCTGCTGCTGCTGCTTCTTCTCATCCTCCATCTCCATGTCCTCCATTACAACAACAACAACAACGCTTGTTCTTGTTCTTGTTCTTGTTCTTTTTCTTTTTTATCTCTATCTATTTCGCTCTCATCATCATCATCATCATAATCATCCCTTCCTCTCGTGTCTATGAAATATCAAAAAAAAACGGTGGACCTGCTAAATATCTAATGCTTCCGCTTTCACTGTTTTTAACCTCTCCTCCTCCTCCTCCTCCTCTTTTTCTTTTTTTGGAATTTTTTTACATCATACCAGTTTGATGCAATGCTACTTTTTATTTATTTTAGTAATGTGTGCCAAGTATTTTAAAACAAAAATAATTTAAAAAATTAATTACACACATATATTTGGCAAATTGTTTTTTTAGTTTTGATTGGTTAAATAATCAATAAAAACAAAATAGCCTAAAATAAATAATAAGATAAAATGTTACATCTAATATATGATTATTTGACTTTTTTCTTCACGACCATCAAATTAATTATAAAAAAAACAGAGGTTGTTTGGCATGTAGCACACGCTATTTTAACTTATTATTTTATTTAGGTCACAATCATCTTATTTGGTTCAAATCACTTCTCTATTAGATCACGTCAATTTCAACCCACATTTCACATTTTTCATAAAAACTCAAAAAATATTTAGCACTTCCTAAATAATCTCTAACTATCTTCTCAAACACAACTATTTTAGACAGACTAACATAATCACACAAAAACACTAAATAACTAAAGAATATTTTGAAAAGATGGTTAAAATTGAATTTTTTTTTTTCCTTTTTTTAACTTTTTTTTATTATTTCATATTAAAGGCGACATGACCCAAAATAAATTAAAGGTTAACTTTAGACTTTTAACCTAAGTTTCAAAATGAGCCTAACTAAAATACTTAGCCTGCATTTAGTTGTGTTTTGTAAATGTGATTTGAGAGTATGAGTTGTATTTTGAGTTTCTGGGTTGTAGAATTATGATTTGAGTGTAGAAAATTTGTTTGGTTATGGTTTTTAAATAGAGTGTTGAATTGTGTTTTGAAGATGTATTTTGAATTAAGTTTTGAAAGTTTGATGTGACATGTGAAAGGTGAAAATTTGTTTGGTAATGTGTTTTGAAAATAGTTTTCAAAATTTAATTCAACCAATAATTTATCATCAAACACACAACTCATATATCGATATCCATATTTTTTATCAACAATAATAACCAAACTATTTTTAAAATACTGAAATTAAACAATGATTTTTTTTTGTCAATTATTTTTTTTTAGTAATTTTTTTGAATAATTGTGATTTCGAAATAATTTTTTCATTTTAAAATAAACCGATGTCAATTTTTTCTGCCAATTAATTTTTCTATCAATTCATTTATAAAATACGTTTTTAATTTTTTTCTAACATTTTGTTAAAGTCAACAACTTTTGAAAATACATATTAATAAAGAAGGAATAAATACACTAAATTTAAAAAGTGTCACGATTGCCATTGTCTTACTCGAACTTGTCCATAATTTGGGTTTTGTACTTTGTAAATTTTGAAGGTTTCAGAGATGAAAGCCGAGTATTTTCCTCCCAAAGAGGATGTGATCTTACAGAATGAAGCACCGACAGACTTCTACATACTTGTTAATGGAGCTGTGGTAATTATAGAACTTTCTTCTTTTGAAAAATAGGATTGAGGCATTCTTTTTCTTTTATTCTATTTGTTAATGATGATTTCTTTTCTAATGTTTAATTACTTTCACAGGATTTGCGTGTCTTCAAAAATGGGGCTGAACAGGCAAGTCTCAATTCTAAAACTCTCGATATCAATTTTGTTACTTAGTAGTAGATAGCAATTGAATACTTGGAAATTGAGAATTTTCCACTATTTCCATGTTAAAATGCAACTGCTGATTTTAAATTACAATAATTGATTGCAGGTCATTGGAGAGGCTACAACTGGTGATCTATGCGGTGAGATTGGTGTGCTTTGTTATAGGCCACAGCTCTTTACAGTGCGGACCAAAAGGTTGAGCCAGTTACTACGAATGAATCGTACCACATTCATGAACATTGTCCAGGCCAATGTTGGAGATGGAGCCATAATCATGAATAATCTCCTTCAGGTTCGTAAATCTGATATACACCTACAGATTTTTATCAAACTGGTAAAAGCATAACCTATTTATAGAATTAGGATTTTATATTTATCTAAGTTACATTTAATGAAAACTTCCAATATTGTTTGGTTTTATTTTTCAAAATTTCTTTCTGACTTATTTATTTATTTATTTATTGCATTTTTTTTTTTTGTTATTGAACTTTTTTTTTCGTATTTTAGTCAATTTTCTTTACATTTTAGTTCTAAAAAGTAGAAGGAAAATTTTTTTTTGCTGAAGATGAGAAAATTTTTTTTAAAAAAAAGCACGTTTCCGTATTTTTTTTGTCTAGATTGTTTTGCATATACTTTACTCCATATTTTTTTTGCCTTTAATGATTTTTTTTGTCTAGATTGTTTTGCATATACTTTACTCCATATTTTTTTTGCCTTTAATGATTTTTTTTGTCTAGATTGTTTTGCATATACTTTACTCCATATTTTTTTTGCCTTTAATGATTTTTTTTGTCTAGATTGTTTTGCATATACTTTACTCCATATTTTTTTTGCCTTTAATGATTTTTTTTGTCTAGATTGTTTTGCATATACTTTACTCCATATTTTTTTTGCCTTTAATGATTTTTTTTGTCTAGATTGTTTTGCATATACTTTACTCCATATTTTTTTTGCCTTTAATGATTTTTTTTGTCTAGATTGTTTTGCATATACTTTACTCCATATTTTTTTTGCCTTTAATGATTTTTTTTGTCTAGATTGTTTTGCATATACTTTACTCCATATTTTTTTTGCCTTTAATGATTTTTTTTGTCTAGATTGTTTTGCATATACTTTACTCCATATTTTTTTTGCCTTTAATGATTTTTTTTGTCTAGATTGTTTTGCATATACTTTACTCCATATTTTTTTTGCCTTTAATGATTTTTTTTGTCTAGATTGTTTTGCATATACTTTACTCCATATTTTTTTTGCCTTTAATGATTTTTTTTGTCTAGATTGTTTTGCATATACTTTACTCCATATTTTTTTTGCCTTTAATGATTTTTTTTGTCTAGATTGTTTTGCATATACTTTACTCCATATTTTTTTTGCCTTTAATGATTTTTTTTGTCTAGATTGTTTTGCATATACTTTACTCCATATTTTTTTTGCCTTTAATGATTTTTTTTGTCTAGATTGTTTTGCATATACTTTACTCCATATTTTTTTTGCCTTTAATGATTTTTTTTGTCTAGATTGTTTTGCATATACTTTACTTTGTAGGTGCATCTAAAGAGTTAAAAATATTGGTTAAAATAAGAAAAAAGTTCCTTAAAAAAAACGAAAAACAAGAAGTCCGAAAATCAAACCAAACAAAACCTAGCTTTTCAGCTTTTCATTTCCTTTCCATATCTGAAACCTTTATAGATTCCCCATGTTTGGTTAAATACAGTACAGGGACAGTTGAATACATTGGTGTAAAAACATGCTTTATTATTTTACCTTTAGACAGAATTGTAATGTCATATGCAATAATTATTTTCCTTGTCTTTTGTTTGGTGGGGCAGCATTTGAAAGAAGCGAAGGACCCGATTATGGAGGAAGTTTTGCTCGAGACAGAGAACATGCTTGCTCGTGGTAGAATGGACCTACCGCTCAGCCTATGTTTTGCTGCACTTAGGGGAGATGACTTATTGTTGCATCAATTGTTGAAACGGGGTCTGGATCCAAATGAATCTGACAACAATGGGAGGACAGCATTGGTGTGTATATGTCGCCCCCTTTTTTTTTTTCCATTTTATTACAACATCAATTTCTAAAAATGCATTCATCCTAATTTTCATGTGTTTTCTGATAAATCAGCACATAGCAGCATCTAAAGGATGCGAGAATTGTGTGCTTCTCCTACTAGATTATGGAGCAAACCCTAATAGTAGAGGTATTTTCTTGACCTTCATGCCAGTTATTGTGATTAACCTGTTTTTGGTTGTTTTGCTTTGTAGCACTTCTTGTTCTTTGCTTTAGTTCTTTCCCCATAGACTCAATTAGGTCATCAGTGTTGTTTCTCTAAAAAATATTTTGGGATTCCACCATCACATGTGGTTCTTCAATTATGTGAGCCCCCCTCCATGCTTCTTCAATTATTGGAAATCTTCTACGTGTACATCCTCATGCCAATTATCCAATTTCAAACTCTGATTGTTTGATTATCTTTGTGTTTTTATTCAAGCTCTAAACAATTGCCAGCCCCCAAATATCTTTGTTTAGCACTCAAAACAACTATTGTCAAACAAAAAATTATTTTCCCTTTTTAATATATATAAACAATGATTCAGATGTATTGAAATATTTAGGGATGGGAACTTTGGCTTTTCTGTCACTCTGAAAGTTATGATGTGAGATGAAATTTCCAGTATTAGAAACACATTGACATGTGCCATGCTCCGCCCATTCCCACCCGTCCAAACCAAACATAGAAAAATAGGTTTAATGTATATCACTATTTGTTTGAATTATTGGTAATACAAATTGACATTGTTGTAGTTGTAAAACAAGTGTTTCGCTTGCATCATGTGATATGTCATCCTGTTTGACATCCTCCACTGTCTTCTTTTTCACTCTATTTGGTTTTATTTTCATAATCTGTTTTTTGAAAATACTAAAATCTGGTTCAGTCATATACTTTACTTTCCAAATCAAGCATCTCAGTTTGCTCTTTTCTTTTTTGGCTGGTAATTGCACGATTCGTATCGCAATCTAGTGACATTTTTCTTAGATCTATACAGTTGACCTTGTTATACTCTTATCCACAAGAGATTTTGTATACCATAACGGGAAGGCCTTTACACGCTCCATAATTTTCTTAATAAAATACTATCAATATTGTAGAAATCAACCCTTATTTTTAATTGTGTTTTCCCTCAAGTATAGATCAATAGCTTTCTATTCCTGTTGACTTTCTTAATTATTGTTCTTCCTATTTGGTTCAGATTTCAGATATCTGATCAAAGCATTTGAATTATATTAGTTAATCAATCTTATCCTATATGGACCGACACCCATTTTGCCAATTTGCCGTTGTTTAAGTTCACTATCTCTTCCATTTTTCAACTACAATACCTTCCCCCATATTGTCATCATGGACTCTCATTTTAGTCTTTCTTCGTCATATTTAAGAACTTTCCCTTCATTTGATACTATTTTTAAAACCATAGTTATCACTTGTGATGTTGAATTGCTAAGAAACACTGACACTACTAAGATGATCGTGTGTTGTACTTGACACCAATACAACACGATACTTATCGGACACTTACAAAGCTTGTTGGACGCACATATATGCAAACATGTGCTACTTTTATAAAATAAAAAAAATCTAGACTCAAACTTGCATCAGACACGTGGGAACAAATGTGTAGCGCTTTCACACACATGAAAATTAGAATAAAATAATTTAGAATCCAATTATAAAAGAAAAATGACATGAATTTATACATACTCTCTCATTCATTAGAGTTCAAAAATTGTTATTTTTGAATTAAAGATTTATACATTTGACATAATAATTGCCAATCTTTATGAGCCATATAAATATATAAAATTATATATTTTGCATGTTTCTTCCTTGTGTCATGTTTTACATTTTTTTAAAAAATTTACATGTCGACTTTTTCATAGCGTGTCCATGCCCGTGCTTCTTAACTGAATTGTCAAATTGCCTCTGTTCTGTGGAATCATTTTGTTCTTTTTCAAAAGAAGTACCACAACAATTTTTAGGGATTGTTTGACCAAGCACAAATAATTATTGTGATTGAAAACAGCTTCAGTAAATATACACGTAACTGTCAACTATGTCAACATGACCTGTACAGATTCAGATGGCAATGTACCGCTATGGGAGGCCATGATGGCTAATCATAAACATGTGGTCAAGATACTGACGGATAATGGTGCCACCATATCTTCCGGTGACGTAGGTCAATTTTCTTGCACCGCCGCCGAGCAAAACAACTTAGACTTGCTCAAGGAAATCGTTAGTCATGGAGGGGATGTCACGCTTCTCAACAGCAACAGATCTAATACCGCACTTCATGTTGCGGTTAGTGAAGCAAACACCGATATAGTCAAATTCCTTTTGGACCAAGGAGCTGATATTGACCAAATGAACAGCCATGGATGGACCCCTAGGGATCTAGCTGACCAACAAGGACATGATGACATAAAAGTCCTTTTCCAATCCACCAAGGAGGCCAAAACGCAAACCACGGTCCCAATCCTGGAACCACGGGGTGAAATGCAGTTCCTTGGGAGATTTACAAGTGAACCGACAATCCGTCCTATGATGGGGAGATTTACAAGTGAACCGACAATCCGTCCTATGATGGGGAGATTTACAAGTGAACCGACAATCCGTCCTATGATGGGGAGATTTACAAGTGAACCGACAATCCGTCCTATGATGGGGAGATTTACAAGTGAACCGACAATCCGTCCTATGATGGGGAGATTTACAAGTGAACCGACAATCCGTCCTATGATGGGGAGATTTACAAGTGAACCGACAATCCGTCCTATGATGGGGAGATTTACAAGTGAACCGACAATCCGTCCTATGATGGGGAGATTTACAAGTGAACCGACAATCCGTCCTATGATGGGGAGATTTACAAGTGAACCGACAATCCGTCCTATGATGGGGAGATTTACAAGTGAACCGACAATCCGTCCTATGATGGGGAGATTTACAAGTGAACCGACAATCCGTCCTATGATGGGGAGATTTACAAGTGAACCGACAATCCGTCCTATGATGGGGAGATTTACAAGTGAACCGACAATCCGTCCTATGATGGGGAGATTTACAAGTGAACCGACAATCCGTCCTATGATGGGGAGATTTACAAGTGAACCGACAATCCGTCCTATGATGGGGAGATTTACAAGTGAACCGACAATCCGTCCTATGATGGGGAGATTTACAAGTGAACCGACAATCCGTCCTATGATGGGGAGATTTACAAGTGAACCGACAATCCGTCCTATGATGGGGAGATTTACAAGTGAACCGACAATCCGTCCTATGATGGGGAGATTTACAAGTGAACCGACAATCCGTCCTATGATGGGGAGATTTACAAGTGAACCGACAATCCGTCCTATGATGGGGAGATTTACAAGTGAACCGACAATCCGTCCTATGATGGGGAGATTTACAAGTGAACCGACAATCTGTCCCATGATGCCCCGGGAAGGTGCAGTGGGGTCCCCAACAGGAGACAGGTCATGGAATCAATCTCGCCAGAGACGTAGAACTAACAACTTTCATAACTCCTTATTTGGGATCATGTCAGCGGCCAGCGGTGGTGGCAGTGGTGGTGGACCCAATGCCTTGCTTTTATCTATAAATCAGACAAAATGTGCTGAGCCAGGAAAAGATTATCCAGCAAGAGTGACGGTTAGTTGGCCGGAGAAGGGTGATGATAAGGGAAAGCTTGTTCTGCTTCCACAGAGTTTGCAAGAACTACTTGAGATTGGTGCTAAAAGATTTGGATTCTCTCCCACTAAGGTTCTAACCAAAGATGGAGCGGAAATCGATGATATACAGGTGATTAGGGATGGTGATCATCTTAAATTTGCTAGTGATGGAGAATTGGAAGAATATAATCTTCAAGATGATGGGGCTTTGAGGTAATATTGGTGTAATGGGTAATCCCAGTTTTTTTGTTTTTGTTTTTGGGTATACAAAAAGAAATGCTGAATCTGATTTATTGTAAAGTTGTGGGTTTGTCCTGGACCAAAAGATGGTGATGGGTCATCCTACTGTTTGCTGAGATTTTTTTTGTTAGTTTTGAACTTCAGCATTGGTTGATTGAAGACAGTGATGAGAGTGAGAGAGAGAGAAAGAGAGAGAGAGAGAGAGAGTAAATAGCTTGCTTCAAAAAGCATTGATTGTTGTTCTATCGAGAGTACAAGAAACCCTCGTTCCTTGATCAAATTTAACAATGTCAACTGTCTAAAGTGATAGTATGTACTTTCATTCTTAGTGAGCCCTTTAATTATCTGATTCTTTTTTCCATGGATTAAATGCTTGTCCTGGTAAGATGCTATATGTTTGATCATTTGTAGTAAAAAAAGTTATTTAAAAAAATGCAAAGAAAAGAAATCTCAGCTGGCTTTGCATAGTTATTTTGAGATGGTAAAAAATTATTTTTTGATTTTTAACAACTTTTGATTTTTTTAAACAAATGATTTGGAAAATTGGTAAAAAGTAAAGTAACTTTTGGCTTTTTTTATTAATATTTGTTTATGATGTCAAATCACAATAAATGACCAAACTATCTCAATTTAATTTAAAATATTTATAACTTCACACATGTAGCACATTTTGAGCCATGAGAGGTAGAATTGTAATTTTACCAATAATTAAAAATCAACTTCTCAAATGAAAATAAATAAATAAAAAAACTAACTTTTGGTTTTTACTGCAAACTAAAAAAATGGCTAACAGTCAATATCTCAAAATCAAAATCAGATGAGTTGATTAATTAATTGCAAGGTACTGGAACTATTTTTTTTATTTTTTAATGCAAAAAGATTAGTTGGACTGTGAAAAAAAATTTCATTTTTGTGACACTGTAAGTTGTGTTTAGTAGAGTTTTGTAAACATGATTTGAGAGTATGAGTTATATTTTGAGTTTGTGGGTTTTAAAATTATATTTTGACTGTGAGAATTTTGTTTGGTAAAAGAGTTTTGAATTGAATGAGAAATTTTTAATGTGACATATGATATTTGATACAAAAATTTACAATTTATAACCAAACATACAACTCAAAATTCTATTATATGTCAATTGCAAAAACAAAAAGAAAAAAAATACACTGTTCTGGTCAACCGGCCGGTAGAACGTCCGGTGGGACGACCAGTTAGGCCAAATATGAAAAAAAAAAAAATTGAAAACGCACCCCATGCAGAATTTTCTGCAGAGTTGTGGAAATGTGATTTGAGAATTCGTTTCAAACATCATATTGGAATATGAGTGTAGAATCATTATTTAGAAACACAAACAAACACAAAAGTTTTTCTTATCCATCTAAACAATTTTCATATGGGTCTAGCTTGTCTCAAGTTGAGATCAAGACTGGACCCGTCCAGTTCGGCCTATAGGGTCCATATTTTGGGTCCGTTTTGATAATCTGAACCGTTCAATGTGTAAAACTCGTCGAGTACTACATGCTTGTAAAAAATCGCGTTGATCAGATATCAATAGTTATGTAATCAAATCAAATTTTTGTAAGCTGTTTATTTTTCACCGTCCATTTTTTTATATATAAAATTCATTTAATCACATAGCTATCGAAATCCGATCACTGTAATTTTTTACAGACATAGAGTACTCGATGAGTTCTACACATTCAACGTTTCAGATTATCAAAACGAAACCCATAATGAGCTCTCATAGGTCTAACAGTACCCTTCAATTCGTGATTGGACTCAAGGGAAACCATTCCTTTCAAAAAAATCACTTTTTTTTAAAAAAATGTCTTTTTATATTTATAATTGCTATGACAAATTAATTTTTATTTAATTCTTTTTTTGTTAATTTTAAATAAATAACCAAATAATTTGTCATTTTGATCTAAAAAATAATTTTTACATTTAAAAAATATCAAAAATAAATATAAATTTTTTGTTACAATTAACGGGTAGCAATTGACAACAAAACAAAAAACTACTGTTTCAATCAACTGAACGAACAAGCAAGTAGACCCAAAAATTGAAAAATTGTCTGGAAAGATGTCTGAGCCGATGACCGAGTAGATCCAAATATTCAAAAACTCTCTGATTGCCAAACATGTTGTGAAATGTGTTTTGAAATGTGAAGTTTGAATCAATTTTTGAAAATTATATCCAAACAAAGGGTTCACATATCAGGGTGGAATTACGATTCCAGTCCTAAACCAAACACAACACGGCATAAAATTTTCTGACAAATGAATTTTGAATACTAGAAACAGAGTGAAAAGCTTTTTTTTTTATTATAATAAAAAATAAAAACCAAAATATTACTTTTGGACACTTGAATTTTAAGGTCATTATATATATATATATATAATATTATAAATTGTGTATGTTTAAAAACTTGCTACTACTATTCGTCATCACCATCTTCATTATTGTTTATTAATACTCCTATGTTAATTAAAAAGGCAACATCTCAACAATACTATTTCTGTAGTCTATCCTAAATATCTTTCTGAAAACTTACTCTAAAATTCACTCTCATCTATCGCACATGCTTTTGCTCTTTCTCTACACCTCTCTGTCTCAAGCTCCTCTTCTCTCTCTGCAAACCCATATGGATTAGGGTTCGTAAATGACACGAGTTAAAAGAGTATTATAGACAGATTGTTGTTCAAAATAAGGGTAATATTAACAAGTAAATAAATAATCACTAAAGCAAATGTCGAGGCTTCTAGTAGAGTTGTTTCACAAACCACCCTTTGTGACTTCCTTGAAACGACCTTCGAGTTCACCACTTATGGAACATTACAAAAAAAGCTTTAGGTTGCCTAAGACCTAGGTACTACCAGAGCCACAGCCTACAGTGAATCTAATGCAGTTTAAAATTGCAATCACTTACACAGCGAGAACAAAATGTGGTAAGTAAATTGAAAAAATAGTTAAAAATAAAAAGAAGAAATTAGAGAGCGCTAAAATCTACTAACCCTTAAGAGAAGGCTTCTCATATTAATTGAGAGTACCTATGCTACCAAAAGCCCTAATAGGCCAGTTATATTAGATTCATATGCTTTGTTGAATTTCTGTCTTTTCTATTAACATAAAAAAGTAAAAGCAGGCAGCCCAATGCAACTACGGAGGAAGATGTTTATCTTGCAAAGGTTTGGACACAATGTTCTGGAACTGTCTAGAACCCGCCACAGACTGTTCCTGAAGTAAATACAAAAGCCAACTTTGAAGAACATGCATGAAGCAGAAATTACACTAGTCAAGCGCAATACTCAAAACACATACCATATCATGCAAGCTGTCTCGAATGTTGAAACACCCGTGCATCGTTGCAGCTCTAAAACCAAGTTGTCCCTGCAACTGCAACAACCCAACTCAAGAGAGTTGTCAAATTTAAACATTAAAACAAATTGCTTCATGCAAAGTTTCCATAAACCTTAAACCACTACCAGTCCTTGCAGGCTTTGTTGAGGGCCATAATGACCAACACGCATTGGAATTGAATTCAATTGTCCCTTGATGCAATTGAAAAAAAAAAAACAAAAAAACAAAAACAAAAACAAAAACAAAACAAAACAAAACAAAGAATCAGAACCATCTATATTCATATTTTGCAAAATCACCAATTTCATGACAATATTATGTGCCATACCAGCCCCTGTATTGCCTGTTGATTGCTATAATAGCCATCACGAATCGAAGATAATGAGATTAATTGTCCCTGCAACAAATATTAATACAGTTTAACATATCATTACTTAAAGACCCACAACTAAGTTTATGGACTAATATGTTATAATTGGGTAAAAGATGAGGCAGTGCTATGTATTAGGACAAATTGTGCTGAAAAAATTAATGGACTAATATGTTATAATAGGGTAAAAGATGAGGCAGTGCTATGTTTTGTTCAGTTGTTAGCAACCTGAAGAGGGTGTTTATGACCTTTAGACCACACCAACATAAATCCGTGTGTTGATGAAAGAGAACCCTAATTTTTGGGTCTCTTTCATTAGCTGTATTTCTATATTCACTCTTTCTTCTTGTCTCTTCTCTTTACTATAAATTAATAGGTAGGACCACTCCTTGTATCAGTTGAGCTCTGTTATCAAAATCTTACTATTCGCAATTCGATTTGTGATCTATCAATAATCGATACAAATCTATCGGTGAATCAATTTTGAGATAGAATCTATTGGAATCGCACGATTCCCAATCTATTCAGTTTTTACCATTCATACAATTCTCAAAACTATCTTTTTTTGCTTAATTATTTAGTGAAAATGACATAATACAATTCCTAAGAGTGTTTGCCTAGTATGAAAATAACCAACACTTGCATTGTTTGTCATTTTAGTTTGTTATTTTAGTGATCAAAGAGTTTTTAATAGAATCCAATCAGATCTCGTCAAACCCAACATGTTCTTTACCTTTTTTCTCATTTTTTCCAACACAATATATCCTAATACATCTACTAAAGATGCGTAAAGTTAAAATAACTTGGCACAAATTACACCCATGAATTATCTATTGCTATTTCAGTGAAATAAATATGATTCAGTATTACATCGGTCAAATCAGTCACATTGAATGATTCCACAACTTTTTTTTTTCAAAAAAAAAAAACTTTTTTTGAACCATAACCAACCATACACCTCTTTTAAAGTGTTCTATGTTTCAAAACTAAACGATTTCACTTAATTATTTCTTCACATTGTACTCCATACAGGATTCCTAGGGGAGATTGTTTTATTTATTTATTTATTTTTTATGGAATATCAAGGGAGATTATATTATGGTAGTTTTTTATCAAAAAAAAGATTATATTACGGTAGTTGAATAATTATATAGTTGGTGGGATTTAGAACCACATCTCTTGATATGAAGCCAATGTCTTCCCAATTAGAGGGTGTAATCATATCTTTCTATAAGAAATATTTTATTTCATTCTTTTTACATATATACATTTGTGTGACTTCACTTTTTATAGTTGTACTAAATGCTAACAATTCTCGATTCAATTCATAATTCACAAAATTAAGATTTCAATTCGCAATACGATTCTCAATTTGACAACTGTGTCGTTGAGCAACATAATAGACATCAACAGCTGGTGTTCCAGAGCCTACTTCCTACACACATGTTATGCTAGTCCATTTTAAGGCATCAATGAAACACAAATTTTTTATTTGCAATATGTTTAGGCCAATTTTGGGATATCATACCATCCCTGGAACGTCCTGTTGAGGAACAAAAGTGTTGTCAAGGCTGTGTGCTCCAGAGTTCAACTGCCCCTACATACATGAACAGTGAAAATAAATGAATATGACAATATACAAATTACAATCCATGGAACATATTCCTGCAAAATAATTTGAGTACACCAGAATTAAGATGTGACAAACCATTTGCTGGTTGCTGTCTTGCACTCCACTAGTTATTACTTCAGTCTCAGATTGTACCTACAATGAAGAAATGTCAGTTAACACTTCAGCCTAGAGATTATACCAACAATGTATAGAAGTTATCAACTTCAAGCATTTCATTTCTTAAAATAGCATTAGATGTAGCAACTGCATACCAACATATTAAGCCTGCACTGACCTTTCGCTTCTTATAAATTTTTTTTTTCTTAGATGTTTTGACCACACTGTTCCCTTGATTCTCTTCTTCAATGCAGAGTAAACTGTTAGGCTCTAAAACACATTTAACAGAATTGTTCACGCCCACACAATGTTCCATGGCTTTTTGTAGTGCACAGATAACAGTATCGTAGGTTTCCTGAGACAAAGACGCCTCTTCACCCAATTTAATGGCTCGTTTACAAAGATCATTAAAACGCTGGACCCTATAATGAAGCCTGCTTGATATTTCACTATTGGATTTCCTGATCTTGGCATCTTTCGTCCATCGCTGTAGTATATAGTGAGATGGGATGTTGGAGACACCAGACATTTGGAGAACAATCATTGTATGTCTACATAGAAAACCTTTATATTCAAATGAACGACACGAACAGCAGATACGTAAGTCTGCTTCATTCCATGCTACAATGAAATTCTGCCGCTCTTTAAAATCTTCAACTCGAAATGTTACAACTGCCTCATCTTCACATTCCTTTCGCAGACTACAAGCAACTGTTCCCAAAACCTCAACCTGAAATTTCTTGAATATTGCATGTGTATAAACTGTTGACATCTGTTTCTCAAAAGGAGATAGAGATTTTAACATAGGCGGGTTGTGATGTGTTTCAAAATCAGCTCTGGCTTCCTCTTCACACCTATCATGCAAAAAAACTTTGTACTGATCAATAAACTCCTTAAACTTAGTCTCCTTCTGTATGTATTTATTCAACAAACACGATATATACTCAGAACGCTCAGTAGTACACATTCCAGCTAAAAAGGTACCACTCATATAAGCAGGAACCCACTTTTTACGATTTCGATAGAGTGATTGAAGCCATTCATCATCCCTGAGCTCAAATTTATCAACCATTTTCCACCATTTCGTTTCAAACTCTTCGTTTGTCCAAGATTGATAAATGCATTTGTTAAATTTCAACATAAAATTTTCAGACCTGTTCACAATATGACTTAGATTTTCAGGAATCTTTCTCAACACATGCCACAAACAAAAACAATGGCGTGTATCAGGAAACACCTCTGTAATAGCTTCTTCCAGTGATTTTCCTTCATCAGTAATAATAACTTTAGGAATTTGACCACCCATTGCTCTAAGCCACGTGCGCATTAACCAAACAAAGGTTGACGTTGTTTCCTCCCCAATCAATGCGCATCCAAGCAACATTAACTGAAAGTGATGATTCACCCCAAAAATAGGAACAAAGGGGACTTTATATTTGTTCCTAACATAGCTGCTATCAATTAAGACTGCATCATAAAAATTGCAGTAGTCATGTCTGCTTATGGAATCAACCCAAAGCACATTTCTCATACGTTTTTCATGGTCCAGATCTATAGCGTAGAAAAAATTGGGAAACTCATCTTGCATAAGCATAAAATACTCGAGCAACACTTGTACGTCTACCTCATCTAAAGCCAACTGCAGTCCTTTCTTTTGACAAGCAACAATATCAGACTGCTTGCTCCTTCCCCTGAGAGTATGATAAAAGTCATCAGGACAAATTTCATGGTTATGCTCCTTCACAAAACTATATATAAACCATTTTCCATCCTGCCTTCTCTTCATATGCATGCTTGCCTTGCAGTCTGTCTTGGGACATGATCGGGAACTACTAGTTGTACTAGACTCGCGTTTACTACCAAATCTAGAACAAACTATTTTTACATCAATGAATTTTCCTGATTTCTTGGACCGGCGACTTGCTTTTATTGTAATGCCAAATCCCACAGACCTAGCATATTCTCTGTAAAAAGAATATGCTGCCTCCTTTGATTCAAACTCCAAACCCTTTTGGGGCTCAAAACTCTTGACCTGCTTCCCAAAAGCGTCCAATCCAAGAGCATTCTCATTTGCTCCCTCCCCACTTGTGCTGAGGTTTTCACCCATATTTGGTCCTAGGTTTCCCTCGATATCTCTACCAGTCCTAGGAGAATTTATCTCATCTTCCCCAGCAAGAAGTCCATCTGTACCACCAAAATTTGTATCCAATCTAGTGTCCAATTTATCCTCCTGACCTGAAGGCAGCTCAAGATCAATCTCCATGGTGAAAATATTTTTTTCTCACGAAAAGTCCATTCTACCAAGATGCCTGTAAAACAAACAAACAATAACTATAATAATCCAGAAATTATGTAAACAACTTTAAGAAGCACTACAAGCTTGAGATATAAATCTAAGGGTGGATGTTGTGGCGTGTTGGTCATGTTCGTGTCGTGTTAGAATTACCTCAACAGTAATCCAACCATTTTTTTTTCACGTATTATCATGTTGCGTCATTTCTGTTCGTATTTGGTTTGTGTCATGTCAAAAACTTTCACCCTTAGTTAAAAATACCAAATGTATAGCGAAATTAAAAAATTTCCCCATAAAGTTAAATTTCATGGAACTAATCTCCAAAATTATTCATTAATTTTTTATTTCAACTCAATTCCATATCCCCAATTTTAAAAAACTATATCCTTTTTTTTTAGTAGATTGATTCTAAAATAGTAGTTTAAAAAAAAAAAAAAATTATCTTAGCCTTAAAATCCAATTTCACTTTTTTTATTAAGCTGGATGGAGTTACAAAAATGATTTTAAATTGTCACAGCACCTCTTAGTGGAAATAATATTAAAATGTGCAACTAATTATTCATTAAATGAGTCATATGTGCGAACTTCGTGTTATGCAGATCCAACATTAACCTAGCCCATTAAAAATACTCATGTTACCAAGTTATGTCATATTTGTGTGTCAAAAAATGGAGAACCCTAACCTTCTATCTCCATGTACAGATTAAGTCGTGTTTCGTGAAAAAAATTTCCACCCTCAGATAAGTCAGGTATAAATAAAAAGTTATTCTCACATAGAAAATTTCTTTCAAATTTAATTAAGATAAGATGATTATAAAATATTAGGGCTAACAATGCGAAATGTAGAATGATTTAATGTAGCATTTACGGCTATAAAAAACTCAAGGAAAAAGAAATTTTTTGAAAGCAAAGAGCATTACCTAGAAGGAAACAAATTCCAATATAACCATAATTCATTATATAACTAAAATTCCCAAATTAATTAAAATTCCTAAACATAATCATAATCTTCAATCTATGCTTCATCCAGCCCCTTTATGATCCCCATCAGTTTCCATTGCAATTTAAGCCCTTAAAGGCTCTAAACCATTTCTGAATAATCTTTGTTATACCACTAATGAACACCACTTTATGAGGCCTACTCCTCCAGTTAAACCATTCATTTCTTCAACACAAAACAAATTCCAATATAACCATAATTCTTTATATAACTAAAATTCCCAAATAACTACTCTCAGAAATAAAATTCTAAATTAATTAAAATTCCTAAACATAATCATAATCTTCAATCTATGTTTCATCCAACCCCTTTATGATCCCCATCAGTTTCCATTGCAATTTAAGCCCTTAAAGGCTCTAAACCATTTCTGAATAATCTTTGTTATACCACTAATGAACACCACTTTATGAGGCCTACTCCTCCAGTTAAACCATTCATTTCTTCAACACAAAACGATCAAAGAAGCTTCTACTGTTGTTCCGGGGGTAATGTCAAATCCCCAAAACAGTCCCAAATTCCTCTCTTCTGCTTGCTTAATGATAGGCACAAATCTCAACACCAGCCACCATATAAAACGTGAAGTATGCACAACAAGCAGTACATTTAATGAAGCATACAATATTATTGTAGGTAAGTCTATTGACAAGCCACTAGGAAGTTCTTATGCTTCCAACAAGCCATCTTGTTTTAGTGCTTCCTCTTCACCTCAAGCAAGTATTAAGTCTAATTCTAAAACAAGATGTTGCACTTGCCATGGTTATGGTCATCTATTTTTTCAATGCCCTACCAAAGCAGTTGCTATGGTTGAAAAGGAAATTCTAAGAGTAGCTAAAGAGTCTAATGAACCACTATTTAAAGAAGACGGTTGTGATCCCCTTGATACTCATTTGGAGACAAATTTAGATGATTCAAATGATTTGATAGGCATTATTCGTCCTCTTATGGTAACCTACTAAACAAAATGCCAAGAATGATGAAAAACTTTATCAAAGAGGGAAAATCTTCCAAACAAGGATCAAATGTGAAGGCTAATATGTTCATTGGTGATTAACACTAGGAATTGTACTATTGCTGTATCTAAAGAAGCTACTAAGAAGTTCGGGTTGAAGATTGAGCAGCATCCAAAGCCATTGAATCACTAATACGAAATTAAAGGTTTTCCAGTCACATTTACAACTAGACCTATGGGTCCCATGATCATCAAGAAACATTTTTGGTCCAAAAGGAAGTGTCAATCAATGATAGTGTTCAAGAACTTTATTTACATTGATTCTAAAATAGCACGCTACTAGTATGTTGCTAGACATATTTTATAGCATTATATCATTTTTATTATGGTAATTTCAATATTGTTGGCTGAGAAGCGCGGACACGGCGATTTTGAAAAAAGTACGATACAAACACAGCAGGGTATGAGAACAAAAATTAATTGTTAATATGCTATATGTATGAATATAAATCTGGAGCACGTAAATATAAGAAACATCAATCTATATGAGGGTGTACTTTTTTGTTTTTTCCACTTTTTCCCATCCTTGTTTCAAATATTTTACTTTGACTCCAAATTAGCTTTCTAAAATTATTGAAAAACCCACAAAGGTTTCCTAAGACACACCCAAACATAGGACACGCTTGTCCATGAACTGCACCCAAGGTGCCCTGCAAATAAATAATAATTAAAAAAAAAATTGACCCGTCACATCATGTGTCAAAGTCCAACGCATGGATGAATGTGTCCCCGGCATTTCGGTGTCCAATACATGTCGAACATGGAAACGACCACCATTTTGAAGTGTTTGTGTTTCCTAGATTGTTGGACATGGATAGTACTCACAATGTATGACTCATAAATTGGGCCAAATAATATTATTTGAAATCTATTTCGAGTCCTAGTTACAAATATTTTGTTTCTAAATTGAAATCTTAAGCCTTGCAAAAGTAGGAGAGTCTTTAAGCCTATAATTATATGTGTAATCTTAATGATTCAATAAAGTTGATATTATGAAAATTTGGGATTCTGTTTGCATGAATTTGCCTTATCCTTGCGAGGATGAAGCGTTCTTCTTCTCTTTCTTCTTCTTTACGCATATACCCAAGTTACTATTCCTGACTCACTGTTCATTGTGCTAAAAAAGTACCCTCTATAGCCATAAACCCTAACCAATTAAGTTCAATTAGTCCAAACCTTTTCCCCAACCTTTGGCCACTAAATCCATACTCAATCACCATAACATAGTTGCCGTCCAGATAAATCTCACAACTAGTTAAGAAATCCTACGACCTGCAAACTAGCCTTTAGATGTAAAAAATGTAGAAACTTTCTTCACCCTCATAACCATTTGGCTATGCTCTGTTGACTACTCATGTCATGACATAATGCTTATAAATGTTTCTCTATTTGTTTACCAGGTTTTAGTCTTATAAAGGTATGTTACATTACAGGTGGAATTATAATGGGAAAATACCATTTCCCATTTATATGAAATTCCCCCCATAATAATCCTAAAAAGTTATTTAAAACTTGGGTAGTAGAAGCATACTTACTAGTAAAGAGGTTTAGTACCAACTTAAAAAGTAGGCGTGGTGAACAGAATTTGCAAGATATTTCAATTATCTACATTACCATCCGTTATGTTATCCATTATGTTGATGTAACCACCAATAAAAATAACCATAGTAGGTCATATGTTCATTAGAGAGGTGTGTCAACTACCACGATTTGATATTAGTACCTTACAAGACTTAGTGTCAGTTAGCCCTAAGGTGAAGCTTGTTATAAACAACTTCGAATAGGTTACCATGCAACTGGTGTTTTCATCCATATAGTTATTTTTCAAAAACAATACCTTTACCTGATAACCTAATCGTCATATGTGGCTCCAGTGAGAGAATGTTAAAATTTCACCTTGTCGTGGATCAATATGCAATTTGTCTTTCATTTGTAATTAATCCATGTGCTCTCTCTATGGTCTTAGGTTCAAAACCTCCTAGATGCAAATAATTTTTTAGAGTCAGTCCATAAAATGGGATTGGTCCCTCAGATTAGTCTGTCCTTAGGGTCAAATAACGAGTTATCAAAAAAAAAAAACAGTGATCAATTTATGTGGAATAATGGCACAACTTACTTGCACCAGTGTCATTGAAATAGCAGGTTTTTTCTTGAGTTGGTGATTTAAAACTATTCAATTACATAAACTTTTCATTTTACAAAACCTAAACTTTTTCCTTCTTGGTATAAATTGTCGCATGTAACATCTATCTCCTACAACAACAAAAAATAAGGAAAATTTTCAAGCAAATAAACAAAAAAAATTTCACGTTGATGACAGTTTCTAGACAGTCACTGTTAATGCAACCAAACAACTAATGTCTTTGGTAATGAGTGGTTCTTTTTCTATTATTATTATTATCTTCTTCATAACTTCATACATAATTGATTCAAGATCAAGTAAGACAATTCAATTTCACACATTCTAAAAAATATTTTTAGAAAAAAATACAAATTTTGATCAGCGAAAACTCCCCAAACAGAAAATAACAAACAGACTACAAACAACAACAATAATCAAGCAATTTCAAACAGATTTGAAGCAAATTTGAAGCAATTCTCCATCATCAGAAAGACTATTTCAGAAAAATAAATAACTGGATTTCAAACGATTTCAGCAATCACAAGCTTCGTCTTACGGTTTGTTTGTGCTTCGTCTTCCTTGAAGGAGTCGATTTCAAGGGTTTAGGTTTTAGAGAGAGGGCAGGGACGATCGGTGGAGATAGAAATGTTGTTTGGGTTTTGTGAATATATGTGAGAGACACCTGTCAGCGAAAGTTTTTTTGACTGCAAGAGTTTTGCGTTGTCTGTTCTGTGGGTTTGATTTTTAAGGGCTCGTTTGGGAAACGATGGATTTAGTTAAAAAAGTTAAAAAGTTATTAAAAATTTAAAAAGTTAATAATTTATATTAAAATGTTAGAAAATTTTTTTTTTTATTTTTTGTACATTTTTTCATAAAAAATTAAAAAATTATTCCACACATATTAATTTTTTTTACATTATATTTTTGCCAAAAAATTAAAAAATTACTAAAAAATCTATTCCCAAACGAAGCCTATGAATAAAAAGGAATTATTAAAATTCACCGTTTGGGAAACGATGGATTTAGTTAAAAAAAGTTAAAAAGTTATTAAAAAATTAAAAAGTTAATAATTTATATTAAAATGTTAGAAAAATTTTTTTTTATTTTTTTATACATTTTTTCATAAAAAATTAAAAAATTATTCCACACATATTAATTTTTTTTACATTATATTTCAGTTAAAAAGTTAAAAAATTACTTTAAAAAGTCTGTTTCTAAACGAGGAAGTTGTTTTTTTTTTAATAAAAAAATTACATTTTAATTAATTTTATACATTTAATCAAGATATATTGAAAAGTAAAATAAATTGATAAATATTAAAAATTTACATAAAAATCTGTATTTATTTTTACTTTTAGATTCAATTACTTCTAGATACAATTTTTTGAAAAATGACTAAATTATAAAATAAAATAAAAAGAACTTAATAAAGACAAACGAAATAAAATCTAAAAATATTTTTTTTAAATTTAAACTAAACAAAATCTCAGCGGGCCTATCTCGAGTGACTCGTGGATTTGGGTTTGGATAGGCTGGCCTAACTCGATAAATTTGAGTTGAATTCAATCTAAATTTATTATTCAAATAAATTCTAAATTTTTTATGAACTTGCATGTAGATCTTAGTAAATAAATTTATCATCTAATAAGTTTTATAATAATTAATGTCATTTTTAATTATAAATTATTAAAAATGATCACTAATAGTTAATTTTCAATGGCAATTTAAAATTTTTATAACAAAAAATTTCATTAATTTTAAGTTTTAGCAGTAGTTTAAAAAAATCGTCACAAAAAAAAATTACTAATTTTTAACTTTCAGCGTCAGTTTAAAAAATTCGTCATAGAAAAATGTCACTAATTTTCAACTTTTAACAACAATTTATAAAAATTGTGACAAAAAATCACTAATTATTAACTTTTAGTGACAAATGTAAAAAATCGTCGTTGAAAAATATTTTTAGCGACCATTGTACTATAACTTATTTTCAATAGGATTTGATGGGAATTAAATCCAACTATTAAGACATATTAATAATTTACCTTTAATTTTTGGACAAATTACCTACACCTCCCTTGAAATTTAGCTAAATTACAGATTTTTCCCTGAGGTTTTAGAATTTACATCCCGCCCCCCCCGAGATTTATATTCACATAACAATGTAACCCCTACCACTAACTAAACGTTAAGAATGGTTAACTGACATCACCTAAACATAAATTGATGGACGATATTACCCCTGCTGAAATCCCTTTGATAAATCAATAAAATTTACAAAAGAATTAAGTTAGATGGAGAAAAAAAAAAAGTTTTTGGCACAATGTTTGATTTGTTGTTTAGAAAACAATTTTAGAATTTTAAAAACTAAAAATAAAAACAAATTTAATAAAAATAAATATGAAAAAATATATTTAATTTGTAAAAATTATTTCTAACCACTCAAAAGATAAAATTATATAAAAATAATAATTATTTTTTATTTTATATTTCTTAACCAAATTAATTTTTTAATTTTTTTAAAAAAATTAAAAATAAATTTCTAAAAATCAAACCAAACATATTCTAAGAATTTTTTGACAAGCTATTTCTTGTGTTTTTAACTTTTTTTAATTATTTGTTAATTTTATAATATTTTCACCATCTAACACTACAATATATAAGAGTTTCAGAGACCAATTTTTTTTTTTATCTCTAAAAGTGAAAATTTTGTTACAAAAGAAATTTATGAACTAATTTCTATCGACTTGATGATAGTCGCTAAAAGGTAGCCTTAAAAAGTCAAAAATAAGGCTTTTAGTGACAAGATTTCGAAAATGTCAATAATAAATAGGCTTTTATAGACAAAATAATTTGGTCTCAAAATGTTCTATTTTTTTAAACAAAAAATTTGATACCAAAAAGATAATAATTAATCACTAATGTTCAAGTTTCATTACTAAAGATATAATAACGACGCTTTCGCAACAAAAATATTTAGTCCCCTAAAAATAATTTTGTCCCTAAATTTTGGTCTCTAAAACTTTAATTTTTTGTAGTGTGATAAGTGTTTTTCCATTTTAATTTTGCATTTCATAACTTATTTAAAAATGATAATTTAGCTAAACCTCATGGGGGAATATTTAATTTAGCTAAACCTCAAGGGGTGTAGGTAATTTTTCCTTATTTGTCAAAAGGACATTTTAATCAATTTATGATATCCATTAACGGCGTTAATTGCAATGGATGGGATGTAATTTTTAAAACTTCAGGGAGAATCTGTAATTTCGTTAAATCTCAATGAGGTGTAGGCAATTTGACCTAAATTTTTTATGTACAAATTTTTGAGGAATTTATGGGCTAGTCTTATTAACCAAATTTATTTATTTATTAATAATCTCAAAAAATATTAAGATAAAATAAGTATTTCAAAATTTATTAATGCAATAAAAAAAAATATAACAGACATATGAATACTTAAGGGTTCATTTGGGATGTGGGTTGGCTTTTTGGCTATTTTAGCTTGGAGTTAAAAGTTTCATTGGGATAGGCTTTTTGGTTTTTTTGACTTTTGTGAGAGAAAAAAATGAAATGATTACGGTTTAATGTGACATTTTATCTTATGAATTAAAAAATCTATTTTGTCTTCTTTTTTTTGGCTATTTTATTCAAAAAATTCCATTTTAACTTGTACCAAACGAAGGCTAAATCCATCACATAAGATTGATCCATAATTTACCACTCATTGTAAGGTTAGACCATAATTTAAACATACAAAAATATTAAGGGTTTATTACATTTTTTACCTCTAAAGTATTGTCAAATTATCAATCTAGTCCATGAACTATCAATTGATTCTACTGTGTCTCTAAAAAATATATTATATAAATCAAAATTTATTTTTAAACGATTGATTGAATTTATTAAACTCTCAAGTATTTAGTTTAAACATATTTAGTTGATTACAAAAATAAATATAAGTCTATAAATATTATATATTAGTAAAAGACCTTACATAGTTAAAATTTTATTTTAAAAAATCTTAAATTTTATTCTGTTTTTAAAAATGTGCATCAATTCTTTTGGTAAATTTCTTTTGTAAGGGTAAGGGTAATTACAATCTTTTTTCACTTACACTCTACAATGGCCCACTTGTTATATAGTTTTATTGCTGGATTTGGTTTTATAATGTATAATTGTTGTTTTTAAATTTTTCATCAAGTTCTTTTTATAACATAATTAATTTATTATTTTGTTCTATTATTATTTGTAGCAAAATTTTATTATTTAAATTATCTAATTCTAGTTTTTCAGTATATTTAATACTCGTACAATTTGGTAATGCTGATAAATCAGGCTCTGATACTAATTTAAACATAGTGAAACAAAACACTTTTTAAAGACAAAATAGAAATTTTAAATTTTTTTAAAAATAAATATTAACGAAGTTGGGTCTTTACTAATTTATACATAATATTTATGGGTTTACATTTTTTATTTTTGTAATTTTTTTAGGGACTAAATAAGTTTGAATTAAATACTTTAGGGGCTTAATAGATTCAATCAATAATTATATTTGTTATATTATTACAAGTTAATATCAGTTATTTATTAAAAAAATGTTAATAGGAATCTAACTTTAAATAAAATATTTAAAAAATTAACCAACCTAATTATTAAAAAAAAAAAAAAAACAACAAACAAACAAACAAATTTGTGAGCAATGCGGGCTTTGCCCATTTTAATTTATTGAGTTCGAAATTGGGCTTAGGCAATCATGCTTATGTTGAGAGTCAGGCTAAGGAGCTCAATTGAAGTTAGAATATGTTAATTTAAATTGAACTCACATGATGTGATGACCCACTAGGTTTATTATTCTGGATAAAGATTATCTCTAGTTAGTAATTAAGGTTGTAAATGAGTGAAGTAATAAATTGTTAAATTTGGTTTAAAAAAATTAAATATGTTTAATTGTTTATCTTTCAAGTTAATTTAAATTAGTTTTAATCGAACCAAGTTCAAATAATTTTGATTGTTTATAGTGCACATAATCAAGTCAACTAGAATGCTGCGCAAATATGGCGAATTGTATGTCAACACTTAGACTCTGGCCACTATTCACACGAATAAAGGCATTAGTTCGATACTATTATCATCCATTGGTAATGTCCCTTATTAAACTTTTTTATAGGAAAATTACATCACTCATCTCTGTGTTTTGAAGAATAGAATTGAGAAGGGAGATTCATAGCCTGCTGTAAGTCGAGCTAGTTTGGACCTTAGTTGAGGCCTGTGCTTCTAAGAACAAGCCCACATGACGAGTGAGGTTTGAGCACGGTCAAGGCGTGTGGCATGTGTTAGGAACGGGATTATTAGCCCGGTAATGTGAAGTGAGTTTGAGGTATTAACATGGCGCGGAGATGTGCACCATGCGAGCCGGACGGAGTTCGTCAATCGAAGACCAGAATGCGACCAAACAGGAGCTCGGTCGTGACCGGAGAGCTCAGTTGAGCCAATACTCAGGCCTGGCCGACAATGCCAGATAGTCGAGCGGTCCTGAAGGAAGGGCAATGGTGTCGCGCTGAGCATGGCTCGGTAAGTAAATGCTATGTGGCGCACTGGGGCTGTGAAAGAAAATTCCATTGACAAAATTCCATTGTCCGCACGCGTCAAATACCGTTTGATGATTTCGTCATTTGGTGTTTAGCTATATTAGCGTTGACACGTGAAAAACATAAGAGGAG